TTTGGGATTTTGCTCCTATTCCCCAAATGCTTATTCTGAATTAAAAAACAATAGGAGTAACAGCGGTTCCTGGTCATCCTCAGGTTCCACAGCACCCAAATGGCTATGATTTTCCAGAAACCCTGTATATTAGATCTCAAGACATTAAATAAAATATACTGATTTCTTATCTGTTTTATCTTCCCTTAGCAACGGGAAGAACAGTATTTTGATGAGTGTTTTATAAAATCTCCTATAAGACCTATGAAGAGAAGGCTTGTTGTCCCTGAAATGAGCTCATCTGCCCAGCGTGCGAATAGCAAATCAGCACACACCAGGAGTAGAGATTGCAAAAGTTTATTTTGCGCAGATGAAAGGTACAAGTGGGATATCTCCCAAAAAGTATGCACAAACACTCAATGGAGGTGCTTATATATGATTTGCATACGGTTGCAATATACAGTTTCAACAACAGTCACAAGATTGCAGAAGTTACAAATCATACATATGTCAATAAGCTTCAAACTTTAGTACAAGATAGGCCTCTCTCTGTAACATTCCTCTGCTATCTTACAGAAAGTACAAGTTGCTGTTTCAACAAGGATGTTCCATCCCTGCACGCACATGTTGTTTTGCTTCTGGCAACAAGAAGAAAATCCTTGGCAAGGCAAAATAGAGTAACTCTGGCTCAGGCTGGTCCTCCACTTCCCCATTTTCAAAGACTAAATGCGCTCTTATGGGAGCAAATGAAAAGTCTCACGTTGTCAAAATGACTCCTAATATTGTTTTGTAAAGGTTGCCTTGAGTTAAAGGGAACCTGTAATGTAAAGGTTTTAAGCCAACAAGCAGAAAAAACATTCCAAGGATTTAGAAGGCATTGTATACAACAGCATAACAGGACCACAACTGCTATGAAGCCAACAAAGCCCACTAATAGCTTTTGCAATCATGCAGAATCTGGTAGCCATGCAGTCATCCAACACTACGGGTTCCCAGTGCCTGAACTGTTATTCTCAATCATCTCCTGGAGTTTCTGCAACTGGACTTCAATAGTTTTATTAAGGTCATGGAATGTCACTTTACACCCCTGCTTTACTATCTTACAGAAGCCACCTTGTTTAGCTAACAAATAATCTAAAACTAGGCGATGGCGCATTAATTCCTGATTTAAGCCCTCAATTTCTGATTGTAGAGCTTTCACAATGACACCAGTGGCATTGATTTTTTCCAGGCGGCAAATCAAACCTAAAATAGAGCGTCTATTTTCTTCTGCTATGACTCCTGGGTAAGCACCTAAAGTGATTATTGCAGTAACTATACCCCCCCCCCATTCTGGCAGGCTCAGAACAGGACAATTGACTTCCTGACCTTATCTTCACAATGTGGCCCTAACAATCCACCAGGAGGGAGGTGCTGGTTCAGCCTTGCACAAAGAGTGGACTGAGCATCTAACTGGTCTTTGGCAGTTACTACTTGAATTGGGAAAGTAAAATGAAATTCTTGTGTACAAGCTCCTGGCCATACTACCCATTAGAGGATGGAGTTGTGGCCATGGGATGGATCCTTGGGCTATGCTACAATTTTGCAACTGGCTTTGTTTTGTGGGAGAAATGAAAAATGGGAAAAAAGGATTGTGTGGAATGTTTTTTTATGCTGTGGAGAAATAAGGAATTACAGAAGCAATGTAGAATGATGGCACTGGTTAAAGTTGTATTTGATAAAGTTAAGAAAGTGCTGGATGATGGTGTAGAGGATAGGTTTGAGGCTGAGATGCTGACTGCCCCCCTGCCCTATGCTTCAGGTCAGAAGAGGGCAGCCTTCGAGCAGGAGACATCAAAACAGGAGTCTCCTGAGCCTCCCAATCTACACCCTTTGCCAAATTTGTACCCACTATCACCTCAAAGATCACTTCTGTCAAATTTGTACCCACCACTGCCACCAGATAGTAGAGAGGAAGAGGATGTTTTAAATTCCTCCCCGATGCAGTTAAGACCCCAAAAACAGGGATGGGAGGAGCCAAGTGGTCCTTTGAGACAAACGCCAGTGGGAGGTTGGGGACAGATTCCCTGAATGATGCTTGTTCACTATCCCTTCTCAACTAGCTATCTGTATGACTGGAAAAACAATGTCCCTTCATATAGGGATGATCCACAGAGAATGCATGACTTGTTTAGCCCTATTTTTAAGACACATCTCCCCCCCATCTCTGCCTTCTGGCCGCCCTGCACCCTGCCTTGCCATGCCTCAGGAAGCTGCAGCCACCCCAGCCCAGTCTCACCCTTGCCACCCTGCACCCCAAGACCCCTGCCACCCTACCCTTCACCACCCCAGCTGATCTTTGCTGTTTTCTTGTTCCAAAAACTCCCTTTGCAAAAAGCTCCTGGGCGAGGCTAGGCTGGGTTTTACTTTGCACTGTGAAAAAAAAAAAAAAGCTCCAGAGGGCTAAGGCTGGCCCAGTCTACCTGGCAGCCAACAATGGGACTGGTCTATCCACCTTCTCAAGAAGGAGGACCAGTCTACCTGTGGAAAACAGAAGGGTCAAAGGGGGCTACGAGGGCCCAGTCTGCCCGCTTATCGTGGCTGGAGGATCAAAGTTCCTGGGAGTGGGCTGGTCTAACTGCAGGGGTAGGGGAAAAAAAAGAGGGAGGGAAGAAGGGGGTGCGTTTTTTTTTTTTGCAAACCCCAGCCCAGCCCCATCCTGGAGCTTTTCGCAAAGGGGCATTTTGGCATGCCGCACTCCATGAGCTTTTTGGAGCAAGATGGCAAAGGTCAGCAGGGGAGGTAAAGCGCAGGGTGGCAGGGGGCCAATAGGGCATAGATGGGTAAGATATAGCCGGGTGGGAGAAGTTGAAGCACCCCTCCAGTCGTAAGTATGGGCAGGCTGCCAAGTGCCCGAATTATGATCATGTGATTGCGGGGGCACTGCAACGGCCATAACTTCAGGCACCAGTCATAAGTCACTTTTTTCAGCACGTTCATAACTTCAAACGGTCACTGAATGAATGGTTGTAAGTCGAGGACTACCTGTAGCCATATCTGTTTAAATGGAAAAGTCCTCTATTGAGAACATTTTGGTTATCTACCAAAAATGCAAAAAGAAACGCAGTCTTTTTTGCATAAGAAATAGGAGTTCTGTACTGAATATACCTAATAATTAATAATCAAGAATAAGCCTACCACACAAAATTTCCTTCCACTTTGTCATTCAGAGCTCATTTAATCCAGAAGGTGATGTGGTCTATGCTGCTTCTCAATGTTTAACCCATGTACAGGCAGTCCCCAGTTTAAGAACGAATTCCGTTCCCAGGGCCTATCCTTAAATTGAATTTGTATGTAAGCCGGGACAGCATTATTGTATAATACTGTATAAGTAGTACTGTGTAATTAACTTGAACCATTGTGTATTTAACTCGAATCATTGTGTATTTAACTTGAATTTTGCTACAACAGGCTCCATTGGACGTTCTTAACCAGTGGACTACTTGTATTCCAAACATTGTAATCACTCGGCCAAAGAAAAATATTTTTTTGCTGACTTTGGGGCCATGAATTCTGAGGCTCTTGACATCTGTTGGGAGTCATACTCTCCAAACACATAGCTTTGAATCACAGAATATGATACAGTAGTTGGAAGGCTCCATGGAATTCATCTGATCTGCCATGAAATCCTCAAAATCACCTGGGAACATGCAGGCACCTTATCCCACCCAACTCTCCCTAAAAAGATCCAGGTGATATTGAACTGGGCTGCTGAACAGGAATCTGCAGGCTCAGTAAGTGTAGAGAAGATGATGCTTTGCCATCATACAGACTTGAAGATGAGCTTTTACCAGTGCTCAGTCAAATTCTCTTCTGGTTTTCTGCCAGTCGTTCTAGGCCTCTTTTCAATTGCATCACCTCTTTCAGTTAGAAAACCAGATCAGCCTATCATTTTGCTAAATAAGTGTTGTTTTCTCTGTATCTCATATAACACATCTTTAGATAATACATTTAATTGATTCTATTTCTCCTAGATCACATGGCATAATTTTTGCAAAATTGAAAGGATCTTTTATCTGCCATTTGTACTGGCAAAGCAAGGGTGGCAAAGCAAGTCTGCAAAAAATCATTTATAACTTTAATTGATAAATGAATTTAGGTAATCCATTGGAGAAATATCTACACTTACTCTTATGGAATGGAACAGCCTCGTAGCTTGGCCTAATTCATGCTGAAACTCAGTATCTGAAATCCTGATTAATCTTTCTTTGGCTTTATCTAAGCCAGAAGAGATTTGTTTCTACATATGTGCATGTCATTTTCCATTTGTGCACATTTTATCAACAAGGATGGTTAGGAGATTAAAAACAAAGCTTTATGAGAACAAATCCAACACAGTAACATCTGTAAGTCCTGGATCCCTTTTGGCATAATGTGAAATATAATTATTTTGCTTTTTTGCTGCAGGAAGATAAATCAGATAAAGAAGACTGATCACAGCTCTTGTCAGAAATTAGCTGTGATTCCAGCAAAGGAGGACATCACTAAAGTAATTCTATATAGAACATATATCTGTTCTCTCAAAAGATTGGTAAAATTTGTTCCAACATACCTTTTTAAAAAAATTCTTGATTACGCAAGGCTTTATCATATACTGCCAATTAACTTGGTCCCAAGGAAGAGATAAATATAGAAAGTTCTTTAAGATCCTGGATCTATGTCCCAATTTCTCAGCCTAACTTTCCAACTAATCCCTTGCTGAAATCAAGGGTTCTACCTATGAGCCAAAAGCATGAATCAAAGAGAACTGTGAAACAAGAATTTTTCTTCAGGCCATTCCAAACTGCATCCATAAGTAGCTAACCCCACTAAGTATAAAACAAAGCAATTGCTGAAGTTTAACTGTTACCCATGGTAACTGTGTCCTATTTATCCTGATTAGGTCCATTCCCACCATTAGTGGGAATAACTGCTGAGACTGCAATAAGTATAATAAAAATGTGTACTGAGGAAACCATGAAAAGAGTCCTGAAAATACTTACCTTCCAAAATCACAAAGTTTTAGGACAGCTGTGTCAGGGTCCAGCAAAAGATTCTGTGGTTTTATATCCCGATGACATATTCCAAAGGAATGGATATAGGCTAAACTTCTGAATAACTGATACATATACAACTGTAACATAAAGAACAAATATTATGATCACACTTTCCATAACAAAACACGGACAGTAACATTTCTAAGATTTCTATAATACTTGAAATAATATCTAGATAAGCAATTTTGCTTCATAATATACACATTTATCCATTTTACAAAATATTTTTTTCACATTTCTTTTGGCACAGTAGGTATAGCTCAGATGTTCTTGAACTGCAATTCCCAGTAGGCCGCAACAATCATGGCTAATTGTGAGGAATACTGGACTAGGGAAATCAAAGCAGTTAACTGCATAGAAATGATCAAAATAATACAAAAAATAATATAATATAGTTATCTAATTGGCTCCCATCATTAGGACATTTTTCTTATATAGACATGGACAAAAATGGACAAAATCTACCATTATGTAACTCAATCCTACTTGTAGAGTATTGAGAACATGACTTTATGTTATTCTATAGGACAATCCTTCATGTAAGTCTTCACCTTTGGAAAAAGCTAGCTACATTTACCTGAAGTGCAATCCAAGGCAATTTGGAAAGCCTTGCTCAACACAAACATAAAATAAATTATGGGATTTCTGCTTGCTGGAATGTTTTCAAACAAGAGCTGAATGGCCACTACCAGGGATGGTTTAGCAAACTTGTGCACTAATGTTGATGTATGAACTCCCTTCCAACTCCTCCATTCTGGGGGTGGGGGGAGAGGGGGAGAGAGAGAGAGAGAGAATTCTGATGAAAAGAAGGATGATCAGCTCAAGGGCAAATGTGCTAACACTGTGGCAGTTGAAAACCAAGTAAGAGCTATGCCTAGTCACGTAGTAAGCGGGAGGGGTAGAGATGGAAGGCCCCTGCAAACAATTTGGAAGGATCAGAATGTTCTGAGTGGGAGCCTCAGAGTTTGCAGTCTCCAAACCAGGGATGGCTTGTAATCACTGTGGAAATCATGGATTCTGGATTGTATCTGCAAATTCTAAAGGAGAATGTAAAGGTATCCAGCTGAAGCTTAAACGAATATGAGACATGCATCAAGGATCCTAAACACATAAGTAACAGCATCTGCCACAGTCTTTCTTTTCTTATTTTTTATTCTGTCAATAACTGCCCTTCAATAGAAGGTAAGCATTCAAATTTGCAGAAAGACATGTTTGTACCATGTAGAGATTTATCAGCTTCTGTTTCCTTAGGGAGTCACTGAAACATAAAATCTGACAGGATGCCTAAACGTTTGCATGTAATTATTTATTAACTCCTATAGATGCAACAGAAAATCACAAGGTTTCCGCTATACTAAATATTAGGCCCATTCTTTGAAATACTGAGAGCAATGAATTCCAGGGCTACCACCACCAGAGTCTCATCAGCAACAATATTCTCCAATGGGTGTGACACTACAAGGATTGAATGAAAAATAATGCCTCCACCTCCATAACTTCAGTTTAAATAAGGAATTTTTAGTAAATGAAACAGGAAAATAAACCTTGAAATGAACTCCTTTGTTACCTGTATTTACTACTTCTGTACATAATCACTACCATTTGCTACACACTTCTGTCAACGCTGGAAAACCTATTGGACAAGCTTATTAAACTCCACACATTGTCTTTTCAATCAGGTCCTGACAGTCCTTTCCATCTCTTTATTTGAATCAAACAGAAACCCACAAAGGTATTCTTTCAATTTGTGAGAAGGTAAAAGTTGCATTTCACTAAGTCTGGACTGCATAGGAATGTGATAAAATTGTGAGATCCAACTTTGCAACTGCCTCTTGGGCGGCTTGTGAGGTGTAAAGCATAGTGTTATCATGTTACACTGAAATTGCCTTCTTGTGCCTCCAAACTCTTCTCAATTATTGTTTTAAAGTTCTGACTGTTGCAGTGCTGTGCTTCTTGGTGATAGCTAGTTCAAAGAAATCCATATGAATAACTTTATCTGCATCTCCAAAAAATGTAACCATGAGTTTTCCTGTTGAAGCCTGGGTTTTAAGTTTTTTTTTCCTGCAGGTAAATCTTTGTGATATTCCATGGACTGATGCTTCATTTCTGGGTTATAATGATGAGCCCATGTTAGTTGTCACGATGCTGTGAAGAAATTACTCACTTTCATTCTATTGGTGTGATAACAAGTGCTGATAAATTTCAATTCTTGAAACTTTCATCTCTGCCATTAGCATTCTAACAGCCCATCTTGCACAAACCTTGCACCCATTGCCAAGCTTGATAGCCATTTATCTTTGAGTGATCTGCTAATTGTCCTTAATCAGTTCATCAACCTTTCTGATATAAAATGTATTGGTTATTGTTGCAAATTGTCCACTTCATTCTTGATTTCAGAAATCAGATCTTCCCAGTTGACCATCTTTCCATTTTTTTGACCCAAATGCAGGTTATGACAGTCATAACCTGCATTTGGCAATGCATTTCAATGTTTGATTTGACTGGCAATCAACAATACAGTTACAGCACATTGCTTAAAACTCATTGACAGGTTTCCATTTTACAAACAATACCCACACAACTTTTGTTCACAGCAATTTCCCATCAAATGAAGTGAAAGAACAAGTGCTAGTACTGCCATCTGTTGGTGACTTATAACACTGAGGCATTACTTTTCATTCAACTCTCATATAAAACAACAACCTTCAACAGCATTTTGGCATGAGAGTTAATTTGGAACGTTATTCTCTATCTGAAGCATCCATTCTCACCACAAAATTGAAGTAGAGGACTGTTAAAAGAAAATAGAATTAATAGGTACTGTTTCCCTCCAGAGACAGAACAGGAAGAGATAATCACTGGCTATCAAAAGTAGTTTGTTGCCCCATGGAATGCACTTAGAAAATAGAGCCCTGAGTTCCACAAATCTGCCAACAGGTAGAGAGACAAGCAGATACAGTCAGCATCAATTCTAACAAAACAAAAATATATGTTGGAAATGTGAACAACAATAGGGGACTTTTTATTGTTTTTGGTGGACGTGTAAAAAAGCTAAAAAATGTTGGACTCAAATACATATAATAATTCAAAAGATTTTAAAGGCCGATATACAATCAAAACCAGAGACATTTATTTTGGGGTTGATGGATAAACAACTGGAAAAATCTCACGGAACTTTGTTTTTATATATGATAACTGCAGTGAGACTTTTGTATGCTCAAAGGTGGAAAGACTCAACATTACCTACAAGAGCGGATGGTAAAGTTGAGGGAGCTGGCTGAGATGGTGAAATTGACAGCTTTGATTAAAGAAAAGACACTGACAATTTTAACGCTAATTGGAAGCCCCTTTTGGACTTTTTGCATGAAACAGAGAAAAAAGAAATCATGATATATGGATTTGATGATTAGTAATACTAATAGACAATAGAAAAAATGGATCTTATGTTCTAATCTTAGAGTAAGAGTTTAATGTAAGTTTTACTTATATCTGCTATAAAAGAAGTCGAAGTCATTTTTTTTGGTATTTGTTTCTTTCTTCTTTCTGCACTGTTTTCTTTCTTTTTCTCTATTCCTTCTCTTATCTATTCTTTTTCTTGATTATTAGTTCTTGTTAGATTTTATCTTTCTCTTTTAAAATTTAATAATTATAAACAATTCCAACAAAACAAACTGAAAAATGGAAAGAACAAAAGAACAAAAGAAAGGGAATCAAGAAGCAAATCAAATAAAATGTGAATGTACCCAGCTTAGAATACCCATTATGGAGGTGACAGACGTTCTGCTGTCAAATAGGGACTAAAGGGAAATAACAGGAGGTACAACTTTAGAGCATATTGACTCCAAAGCAAAAGGGATGGGCTTCCTACTAAAAAATTGAGTTCCAAAACTTTCTGAGAGTGGTACAGATACAAATACCATAACCAAGAACTACTGAGTTTCTCAATTCTTTTCACCTACCTTCACAAATATCATGGGCAGCGTCTGTTTGGCTCTACTGTAATGCCTTGCCACTCTGTATACTGTCTCAGGAACATAGTCCAACACCAAATTAAGATATACCTCATCTTTCTGGAAAGGAAAAAAAGCAAGAAAAGAAGAAAAACAGTAATAAGTTATTCATATCATAATATTCATTACCATTATAGTATAGTACAGTTTTTTCAAGTACACATAGAAAAAACAATTTTAACTTTTTGTTAAAATTTGTTACCTGAAAAAAATAATTTCTGTAAAGGCTTCGGCTTATGCAAATAAGGTTAGATAAGGAACACAATAAAATTAAACCCCATTTAACATCATCTTTCATATAAAGAATTTTATTTGAAATAGACGTATAGATATGAGTGACTATCCTCATCTATTACATTAAAGGGAAAGAAAAAAAAAGAGGGAAAATGACAAAAGAGCTTAGAAGGAACTAGATAGTAAAACATATATAGCACAAGTGTGCTATAAAAAACATATAGCACAAGTGTGCTATAAAAAAACCCAACATTTTAAACATTCCAAAATGTAACCTAAAAACAGCATGAGCTTTAAGAGTTTCTGATTCACGCAATTTGCAATTAGATGGTACACACCAACATTTAACTATGTGTTGCTAAACTATGTTCATATTATTTCTAGCCTGCATATAAACATTTTATCCCCTGAAGTTAAACTTATCTTATGACCTATGGTGGCATGATGTAACATTTGCTTAATAATCAAGAGGAGACCTGCTCCTAGCTAGAATATCTAGCAAGGTATATTTGCTGCTGCTCAACTGAAAGTTTGTTCCACCAAAGTCAGCCAGACCACAAATACTGCTTCGAATATCCTGCCTTCTATGTTTTCTTTTTTAAAAACTCCTTTAAAATATATGCTACTTCTGCTCCTTGCCACTGCTTCCACATTCAGCCACCCCCTAATTTTGTTGTCAGGTAATGAATATTCAAAATGATAAGGAGATGAGCCACCCTAAAGCTTTGTCTGTTGCTGGTATTTGCACTACACATCTGTTGCCATTCTAGAATATAATTTTTTTTCAACTTACCTTCTCTCCACTGGAGTAAAAGAAATAACGTAATCTGACAATGTTACAATGATCAAGCTTTCTCATGATTTGAAGCTCTCGATTCTAAAAGAAGAGAGAATAATATTTAAAAGGTCATTTTCTAAAACCTCACCACTTCATATGATTTGATACAGAACTCATATATTTTGTCAGTCTGAAAAAAATACAGTGCAATATGTTTTGCATAGACTTTTACTGAAACAACAACATGTAGTTAAGACAAAGAATTTTTATTGGACACTATGTTCAGTATTTAAAATCATTTACAGCAGATATGTTAGCAGTATAGATTCAAATAAAATTAAAGTATCTTATATAAATTACCCCCAAATTCGAAAGGTTCAACCCAGTATTTCTCATTTGTTAATTCCTAAGAAAGTGTGTGTTATGGTATATTAGAAGCCTGCAGAGAATGCTTACAGAATTGAAGAGTTGAAAAGGCCCATTTAGTCTGTTAAATCCAACTTCCTTTCAATGCAGGAATCTAAATTAAAGCATCCACATAGGATAACTGTCTAGCTACCTCATGAACCAGCCAATGGAACTCTACCCTCATTCTGGGCAATTGCTCCTACACTGAGAAAGTTTCTTCCAACATTCAGCTGGAATCTGCCTTCTTTTTATCTTGTGGCCTACACCATGATATGATACAAAACAGGACCTGAATTTCTTCTATGTCATGTCCTTTTGGGTAGCCCCTTCAATATTTTCTTCTCCTCAATATTCCTAATACCTAAAATCCCTCTTCATAAGAATTAGTTTCTAATTTCCTAATTATCCTTGAAACTGCTCATCTCTGATCCTGTCCCAATTTCTCTAAATCCTTCTTAAAGAGTATGGTATAGAATTGAGGACTCTATTTGAGATGGGGGTCTGACCAAAGTAGAATAAAATGGAATGATTACTTCCCACGATTTTCAAATTATAATTGCTGCAGTCTAAAATTGTATTTGCCTTTTTTGAAGCCACATCGCACTAGTGGTTCAGATCCCATTTGCAGTCATCTACTATTCCAAAATCTTTTTTACAAGTATCAGCCCTGGTATCCCCCATGCTACAGTTTTGCATTTGATTTTTGTTTCCCAAGTGATGAACTCAGCAGTCATCTGTTAACATTTATTATTATTTTCACTGCCATTTGATACTATTAATATGAAAAGGTGTGCAAGAAAGAAAAAAGCATATACCATATTTGGATTATATAAAAAAAAACAAACCCCCTTCCAAAAGAAAACAATAAAAATACTGCAGTGATAAAATTAAATTTAAATCTCTAATTTCCAAATGACAGTCAAATATTACAGTGCAATCCTGCTACCCCTTACACAAATTAACCAATTACTCAAGTGACTGTTACTGTTAATATTATATAAACCAATAGGAAAAGAAAATGAAATAAATTTTAATGAAGGGGTGTCTTTTATAAAGGCCAGTTTAAAAAAAAGAGGGGAAAAAAACAAGTAGGGAAAAAGAAGAAATGGGGGGGGGAAATCGCAGCTTTAAAAGAAATTACAATTTGTAAGTTACCCCTGTAACCACAATCATACCAAAGTCAATAAAAATGTACCTTCAGTTAGGAGTGGAGCTTCCTTAATGGGTTCCTGCATTTGTCTTTGTAAATTATTCCTCACATTATTTTAAGTTGTCCTAATTTGTTTAGGAGTGTTTGAGGCTAGCTTAGCACTTTTCTTTCCTTCCTTTTCTTTTAACTCTTTAGAGCTTAAAGTTCAAAAACTCAAGTTTTAATCATTCAGCCATTGAAGGAATCCTAGGGAACAGTGCATACGTAGAATCTCTTTCCAGGGATATGCCATATCTCTCTGCATGTAATCACCAAGAGTCATTAAGATGGCAAGCCACAAGTATATACGTTGGAAAACAGGCTTTTTCTGCTGGTTTGTAAAATCCTGTTTCTGGAAGCATAAGTTAAATGCAACAGCTCAGCATGGGGTGCTTTATTCAGATGCAAGGCAGCACGAAAACAGCAAAAGCTGCCTCTCCTCATGTAACTTTGAGAGGCATGAAGAAAAGCCAGAGGCCATGCCTGGGGACCTGGGAACTAAAGCAGGCAAACAGCTTATACTGGGTCAACTTTTTACAATGACAGAACCTGCAGATCTGCTGAATCAGTCATTATCTGTTTTTGAGATCTAGCAGGGCAGAGTATTTTCTATGTCTTTTGCTTCTGGCTGTCACATCTATTGGCTTTCCTCTCATAAATTAAATTTGTCAGCTACAGGTAGTCCTCACTTAACCATTCATTTAGTGACCATTCAAAGTTACAACGGTGCTGAACAAAGGGACTTACAACAGGTCCTTGCACTTACAGCCATCCTAGCACCCCTATGGTCATGTGATCACGATCCAGGCTCTTGGCAACCAGCTTGCACTTATGACGGTTGCAGTGACCTGGGGTCACATGATTGCCATTTGTGACCTTCCCAGCCAGCTTCCAGCAAGCAAAATCAATGGGGAACTGTGTGATTCACTTATGACCTTATTTGCTGCAAAAAAGATTGGGCACAACTTGCTTAACAACCACCCACTTAACAATGAATTTTCCAGTCCCTATTGTGGTCGTTAAGTGAGGACTACCTGTATATGGAAAGGAGAGGCTGAGACATAGTGTGCATTCTCTGAACCTTCTGGCAGGGCTAGTACTTCATTTATTAGCGTTTCTATAGCAAGAATAGGTTGATCGTTCCTTGTTTAAAGAACAATCTAAATTCCAGACATACACACACAAACACTTCAAAGAGATCAAGAGTTTAAGGATAAGACTGTCTTGAAAGGTCTTATTAGCTTGTTAAATCAGTTATAACCTTTCTATAGTCTTCACTTTGGTTTATTGTGCTTTCATGCTTTTTTTCTCATTGGAATTGTTTGTAATTCTGCTGTTAGTATTTTGTTTTTAGATACTCCATCTTCTATTAAAATCCCCTTTCCTGAAGTCCTAGATCAGCATTTGATTACACACAGCTTCAACATTAGATGGTTACTGACCCCCCCTTCTATTGCCTCTTCCCTGTTGTTTAGTGTCATGTCAAATTTTCCTTCTCCTTTCTTGAAGTGTTTAAATAGAAGTTGGGATGGTGTAGTAGTGTGGTAATATTTCTGTCTGACTAGAGATTTGAAATATGTTGCTTCATATGAGCAAAAACATTTTGCATTATGAACCTTGTCTGCTTGCAACAACTTTCAAAAAACAAAAAACAAATACCACCTGTTTGGCACATGCATTTTTTGCCTCCAAAGAAAACTGAGTAGCAGCAGTTTACATGTTTTTGCATTTCAAAATGTTAACTCAGCAAAGCTCAACACACAACGAGAAGCACAGGGGCATGTAATAGTACAACCAGAAGCCTGCAAAAGAAGAAAACACTAGATACAGAGAGGGGGACAACAAACAAGACAACCATAGCAGAATGGTTCAAAATAGGCATTCTCAGCCATGGTTTTATAAATGGCAATCTCCCTCACCCACTTCCCAAATGCAGCCAGTTGGTCACCATATGTAACACTAGACAGCTCTATGGCTTGATCCAGCAGGGGATTGATTCATTCATTCATTCATTCATTCACGCCGCCCATCTCCCCCAGTTTGTTTGTTTGTTTGTTTATTCGGCTTGTATGCCGCCCATCTCCCCCACGGGTGACTCT